TCCGGGGTTAGAACATTGGTTGATGAGTTGAGGTGAGAGAAACGATGATTTTGCGGTGCAGTCTATGAGCCAGGGATGTTATTAAGCAGTTGAGATGCTTAGGTTTAGATTGGTATGGGATTTGGAACGATTAGAGGCAGTCGTGATGAGAAGTTCTTGAAGAGTTAATCAGAGGTTCAGAGTATAGAGGGTTGATTGATTTCCTTAAGGGGGGAATTATCGGGCGTTGCGTAGCATTCTCCTGGAGCAGGTGCGATTTAGCTGGTGAAAAAAATAGTTGTGGGTTGGTTGTGTGCTAATTGGTGATGGTTCGAACCCTAAGTGGGGGAGAACCGGGTGCAGTATGTAAGGAAGCAAAGATTCGACAGGAGTGTTTATAAGTGAAGTATAGAGATATGCTGTAAGAAATCATGAGACCAAAGGTGTCGGTGATCGAGGAAAAGGGTCAGGGTGAGTTAATGCGGGAAGTACTTGAGGAGGAGAACGAATGTATCCATGACAGGTGTTTGGTGTTGTTGCAAGTAGATAGAGAATGATTGGGCGGCCAACTCCCGGGGTCGGTATGCGTATCCTTGTTTGGATTTTGAGCATCGGGAAAAAAGGGGTTTCGGAGAATTATCAGTATATTTCGTAGCGTCAGCGTTTCTCGTATTCCAATCGAGAAATTACATGCACCGAAGTTGTAATGTGGGAAAAATGTAGATCTAATTATGGGGTTCAGAGGAGATGTATTATTGTGTCTATATGATTCTTGGGGCAGGAGATCAGTGGTTGTGGCAGGATCTTGTGATGTTTTGTTGGGGTATTCTGAGATATTCGGGTATGATATCTTTATTTTGGAGTTACTTGTGAATCCTGAATTGAATCGACGTGTGGCATATCAAGTATCTGTGAATCTAGTGGGAGCTCTTCAAGTATGGGCATCCAGGGAGGTTATTTGAGAGTGTGGATTTTCGCAAGGATGGGCATTTGTTATGTTGATTGCCTCCAGAGTCTGTGATGGATATTCGAGCCGTAGTACTCCCTACTCAGAGGGTGTTGTGATGCTGCGTGGAGTTGCAGTACCCACTAGAGGGCAAGAGAATTTCGATGTTGGAATGTTTTCGAGTAGTGCATGATGTGGAAGAGTTGGGTTTGAGTAGCCCTGGTGTTGAGTCCTTGGAGCTTGGATGTTGAGTCGGGGGCGAGACGGGGGTCTCCATCTCTTTCAGGAGATCCGGGGAGATACGCAGGGAATATGCAGAGCAGAAACCAGAGATTTGAGTTGAGATGATCCTCGATTGGATTGTATTTTTCTCACATGAGGAAAAGAGGATTTCGTGACTTGCGTGTCACTGGGCCGGGATAGTGGTCACGGGGAGGAAGTTAGTGGGACACTTGGATCATGATATGGGTGATGTTGGGGGCTCAGCTGTGGAGCCAAAAGATGATCTGGTATTCAGTCTTGAAGAGGAATATGAGAAAGGAGATTATCCTGATGACATCTAAGGACACTTTAGAGAGAGTGAACGATTTAGACGCTCGAAGACATGCTTCGGGCATGTGTATTAGATTTTGGAGGAAGCCGCGGTATGTATTTATCCTATATTGAGTTGTCTCATATCAACAACCATCATTAGTGCATTGGTATGCCGCCCTTTGAGCTGTTGCATAGGAAGTGGTGTCGGATCCTCATTTGCTGAGGATAGGTAAGGCATGGACCCGAGAGTCCTTGCGAGCAGATCCGGAGCATGGGCGATACATGGAGTAGTGGCAAGGTCGTCAAGCGGATTTCCCTAGGTAAGGGAAGAGAAAGGTACGTTGGGGCTAGTGCAGCATGTGTATGCGATTGCAAGAGTAGAACTCGTGAGAGTTGCTCTGAGAGTGAGTATGGGTCTCTCAATCGTTCCGAAATGGATACAGTGGGCTTTGGATCGGGGATCCAGTGATTCATGGTTTCCTAACCCTTATGGGTCGAGTGATCGTTGAGATTTAGAGCAGAGTTGCATTTTGGGTAATTCTCGGTTACAGGGAGTGGCGGGCAGTATAGAGATCGTGCTTCAGTCGACAGAGCAGATTCAGCAGGTTAAACAGAGGATATTGATCGCCTAGAGTCGACAGAAAAGTTATGACGCCGGTCCGAGTTTGAGTTTTAGGTCGGCGACTTTGTACTCCTGAAGGTCTCTCCTGGAAAAGGGGTGATTCGGTCCAGGAAGAGGGGCATGTTGGGGCCCCGGTATGTTGGGCCTTTCGTGAAATTGCGAGGGTAGGATGGGTGGCCTACCGTTTGGAGCTGTCAACGGAGTTGAGATAGATCCATGACATTTCTCATGTGTTGCAATTGAAGAAGTGTATAGCCGTTGAGTCAACAGTGGTTCCACTAGAGAACATTTAGGTGGATGCGAGCTTGAGTTGTGCTGAGAGACCAGTGGCCATCAGGGATCGGAAGATAAAGGTTCTGAGGAACAAGGAGGTACCTCTGGTATTGGTTCAGTGGCAACCCGGAATGGATCGGAAATGACTTGGGAGTCGGAACATGAGATGTGGGAGCAGCATCCGGAACTATTTTCAGAGTAAGACTTCGAGGGCGAAGTCTGATTCTAGTGGGGGAGAATTGTAATATCCCGGAATCTCAAGTATTGTTGAAATTATATTTATGGGGTGTTTTAAGGGGGGACTCGGCGAGTTGGAGCCAGACTCGCTGAGTAGGATCGCAGACCTGGTCGCGGGTTCGCGACTAGACTCGACGAGTCAGATAGGGACTCGGCGAGTCTGCACTGTTTAGCGAAAACCCTAGCCGTTTAGGTTTGGGACGTATATAATGAACTTATAGGCCGTCATTGTCCGTCTTTAGCCTACTAAGAAGAACCCTAATCGGTTGTGTGCATCTGGAGCAAGGATTGAAGGCCATTGGTGATCTTGAAGAAGTTATTGTGCAAGGAAGAGAAGGGTTTGGCCAAAGGAACAGCAAGGGAATCAAGTTCTGAGGATTGGGGACACAGAGAGTGCACTATTCAGGTAACAATTCGGATTATAGTCTGCTATGTTGATGTGTGCATGGATTTAGGGTTTATGGAACCCTTTTGTGACTAGATTGATTGTTATCCTTGTTTCCCCAAACGATTATCACCCTGTATTAGGACCTTTAGAAGTCCAGAATGTCCCATGCCTGTGTATTTCGGGAATTGGTGAAGGTTTTGGATTGAAATCCTTATGCCTTAGGTCAACATGTAAATTATAAGTCTTGGGGTGTAGCATGAGCACCTAAATGAAGACCTTATGTGATGGACCAGTCGAGGAAGGCCAGACCTATGAATGGTCGGAGCAGTTATGACCTTAGGAAGCAGTTTGAGCGGCTGCATGGCATGGACTCGCCGAGTCAGATGAGAAGACTCGACGAGTAGCTTGAAGAATAACTGGGACTCGTTGAGTTGTTCCTCAGACTCGGCGAATGGAGTCGGGGTGGCCCCGCTATTCTTCCAAGAGTAACTCGTCGGGTCAAGGAGGATACTCGACGAGTAGAAGGGAAAACTTAGAGGATTGGAGGACGACTAGACTCCCGAGTCGCCAGGGTACTCGCCGAGTCCGGTCGAGTTAACCGTGGACTGTTGACCAGAGTTGACCGCGTGTGATTTCTTAGGGTCAGTTATCGTGGAAGATAAAAGTATTAATAAGAGAATACATTATCCAGGGAGCTTGAAGCTCGGCGGATCAAGTGCAAGTGATTTCAGGAGTTGCTAATTTCCAGTATCCACAAGGTGAGTCTTCTCACTATACTATACCCGGAAGGGTTTGACTGGGTGACCGGAAGGTCGGATATGATATGTGTTATAAGTGCTATAAATGGAAAGGTAATTTCTATGCGTGCTATGTATGTTTATATGGGCCGGAAGGCAATATGTTATATGACCGAAAGGTCAGATTTGTTATATGATATATGTGCTATATGTGGTAAGTTAAGTGTATTATGTGTTGTGTATGTTTATGGGCCGGAAGGCAATACGTTATGGGCCGGAAGGCAATGTGCTATGGGCCGGAAGGCAATATGTTATGGGCCGGAAGGCGATTATCACATGGGCCGGAAGGCGTTGTGTTGTGGACCGGAAGGTCAGGGCCTGGAAAGGCGTATATGCGTAAGTTGTATATTGGGAAACTCACTAAGCTTCGTGCTTACAGTGTTTTGTGTTATGTTGTTTTCAGGTCCATTCAGTAACACGGGACGGCACCGGCTCGATTGTACACACCAGAGAAAGAGTTATGTTTTGGAGGATCCTGGTTTTCTATTCAAGTGAAAATGAACTATGTTTTGTAATTCAATTATGAATGAGATTTTAAACAAGTGTTCTAATAAAATGATTATTTTAAATGCAAAATTTTGCCTTGAAATTTACGGTGGTACAATACTTAGCAAGGTTCATCCTACGAATCATGTATTGGTGGCATACATGCAAACTATCAATCCTTTGATTAAAATAAGACTTTTACTTCCAAAGAGAATTTGAGCAACATCAAAAAAGCAAAAGGAGTCCAAGAAACCGGCTAAGGGGATTCCTTCGAAATTCGAACAAGTGGAGAAGGTTGTTAAAGCTACATTAAAGGTGGTTACTAAGTCTGATCCACCATCGAAGAAAATTCAAAATCCTGTTGTTAAAGAGTCTTCTTCACTAGCGAAGGATGTCATGCCTTCGAAATCTTGGATTTTCAAATGTTTGAAAAAGATGGCTCACATGCCTCGTCATTCTCCTTAGAGATATAACAATTTTTCTCCCAATGTTGTTTTGCAGATCACTCGTAAGCCCCAAATTAATCGCAAGGGTGTTATGATTCGAGAGATTCCAAATCCTGTCTTTCCGAAATCCAAAAAGCGAAGGGCTGAAGACATGGCTAAAAATATTGCTAAGAAGAAAAAGAGAGTGCTAGTTGAATCTAAAGACGAAGTTGTACCGGAATCACTTCTTCCTGATCATGCTATGATTGTTTCATCACCATAGAGGGATTCTCCAATCAAGTTTAATGTCGACATGGTTGGATATTTTGATGTCTCTGTGAAAACATTATATGTAGACACAGCCATTAATCATGATGATCAATCAAAAGAATCTAATCCTCAGAAGACTACGGTCGTACCACCCGAAGTTTCAAATGCCAAATCAGTTACTGAGGGGGTTCGAATTTCAGGCATCCCTATGAACATATCTAATATGGACACAAATGTCACCATGGGTGAATGAGTGCTAAACACTGAAGCTCAAGGTAATCGTACGATTGTTATTTCTTCTACTTTCGACATATCTATCATTTCAACCAATCTTTATTCACCGCCATTTGTTTATAATGTTCCACCACTTTACCACCACCTACTCATTGTCCCACGTTTGATCAAATCCTTCAACAACCAATAACTTCTCATTTTCCATCCCAATCCACTGATGATCCTAAAATAGTTAATGACGATGCTACCACTGATGATGTTGGGTTTATGGGTACATTTGCTTATCTCAAATTTGATCCGGAGGAAGAAAACATACCAAATCTTATGTTAATGTCTGGTAAATATTTCAAAATTCTTAACAGGAAGTCGAACTCATTATTACAACTCCAGGCGGATGCAGGGGGTTGTCATTCGTTATCGGGAATCAAAGTTGGTGTAATGCTCAAGGGTCAAGAGCTTCGTCTGAAGGATGAGTTGGACATAAAAGGCAGAAACAATCAAAAACATGTCAAGGCTCAATCATCATCTTTTCATCAATAACTAGAAGAACTGAAAGTTGTGGCAAAAGAAAAACATCTTCTATATGTTCAAACTATTAAGAAAGTTCGAGATGATGTTAATCTCAAAATGGAGGAGTTACGGGTAGATATGGGAAAGGAAGTTGCTGGTATATCTCATGATTTTTCTATTATTCACACCAAAGTATATATCATTGTTGCTGCAATTACAAATGTTGTGAAATGGTATCAGTCGTTAATTCTGAAGGTTGATAAAATAGCAGAGGTTGATACACAAAGTTTTTCTAAGGTTGAAGCTTCGTTGATTAATCTTAATGATTTAGTCTCAAAGATTGGTTCATCCTCTTCTCTGATTACTCCTGATTCTTTATTCCAAAAGTTTGATGCCTTGGAGTCGACACTCAAAGCTGAATTGGCTCCATTTGTAACATCATGTTCGGATCATCTGTGATTTAGGGTTCGTGGGCTACAACCCGGTCATAAGGAAGCCTTGAGGCTGCGACGACTTACTAGAAGCGTAGGACTTACTAGAAGCGTAGGGCTTCATTGGAAATGGACTTATAACGAAGAATTTATGATAGTTTGAAGTTTTCGCAAGTTTAGTCCTTATTAAGAAATGGGTGGTAGACAAGTACACAGGGTGTAATTATGTGTACCCTCAGTGTACTTATATGCATAGCACGAACACGGAGACCACCTACTACGTTGGGCGTACCAGAGGGTACGCTGGGTGTACTAGGTACAGAATGTAAACCCTAATATTTTGAAGTGACCCTATTTAAAGATCATGTGGCCTCATTTTCAGGCACCATTTCCAGCCTCCAACTCCTCTCAAAACCTTAATCTAGTTTACATGGCTTGTGTGAGTGTTATGGCTCATTTGAGTGTATTTGGTGATGCTCTTGGTGAAAAAGGAGTCTAGAAAGAGGATAGCTTGTGATTCTAGCTCGTGGATCTAAGTTCTACCCTTTTTGGTGCATCTTCCAGAGGTATAAAGTTCGAACCTTGCTTATTGTTGTGTTAGCTCTTATTTTGGGTCAATTTTTAGAGTTTTTTGTCGGAAGATTGGAACTTTGTGAGTTTGTTGTACTCCAGAGAAAATCTCCAAGAGAGTCTTAATAGTTATTTTGCAAGTTGGGTCCCACTAAGACATGCAAACTGATAAAGTCGCCAACTTTACCAGTTAGGGGCTTGTAACAAAGCTTCCCTAAGGTTTGGATGCTTTGGGCTGAAGTGGTTAAGTCGAGAATGTAGTTTCTGGATCTAAGCATTACGCCCAACGTAGTTCTAGTACGCCCCACATATTGGTCTGGTTTCCCCATCAGGATTCATGTGTACGCTGAGCGTACCAAGGGAGTTACAACACCACATTAACTCGTTATGGGCTTTTTTTTTCTAAATCTCATATTGGGCCTTAAGTGTTGGGTTTGGATTTTGGGCTTGCTGTATTGGAGATTTTTTATCAGAGGAATATATATTTCTTAGGCCCTTGTGTTGGGCTTTCCATTTGGACTTAAGTTTAAGGGTTGGGCCTTGGGAAGGCCTAGGTAGTATTGGGCCTTAGTGGGCCAAATGGGTTTGGGTTATTTATGTGCTGGTTAGTGGACTACCTTTAGACCTAATGAGTGAGGGTTTGGTCTTAGATCCTAATTAGGTTAATTGTGGGTTTAGATCAGTGTTAGAGGCTAGTGTGCAACAACAACATTTATAGTAGTTGTTCCTTATCTGAGGTGAGTCTTCTCACTATACTTACCATGAGTGGTAACTTTGTGTGGCCGGAGGGTCTTGTGTGTTTATATTGAGTATTGTGATAACCTACATTATGTCTTTGTGAATTATGTTGTGTATTATTATGAGCTTTGCTGAGTTAGGACTGGAGGGTCCACCCGAGTTATGGCACCGGAGGGTTCCATTGAGACACATTGACTAGAGGGTCTTATTCGAGATATAGCGATGAGAGGCTAGTGAGATGTGTATGGTGTTTTGGGAAACTCACTAAGCTTCGTGCTTACCATGTTGTGTGATATGTGTTTCAGGCACTTTTGAGGATCACGGAAAAGCGTCGGCTTGCTTATACAAGTTGGTATTAGAGCCTTGGTTTGAGGGATTTAGATGTACTCTCGGGTATGTCTAGACTCAAAACTGAGGATTTGAGAAAATTTTCTAAAAAGAAATGATTTTTCTAAAATTAGTAAGAGTGGATGTTCCCCCTTCTTCCTTACCATGGCAAGTCTTTGTGAAAAAGAGAAAATGAGACGTAGCAGTGTGTACAGTTAGCTAGAGCCCGAGCAGTGATTTCCCAAAATACCATTATTTGTTTACATTATGAGATATTTATGAGATATTAGAGTTGCATGCTAGAGGATAGGCTATGTATTTCATAAATTAGGGCATTAGTTGCCTGATTCATGATGCCTTAGCCTAGGGGACGCTATTGATTGATATTATCTGCTATTTGCTCTATGTATGTGTTGAGTAGGAGTGCCTAGCAAGAATCTCTTAGAGAGAGCTTTGAGTAGAGGAATAATCTAGGAGAGGCACCTAGATATACATTTGAGAAATCTACTGAGAGAGTAGTTAGATACCCACGAGAGGTAGGGTTGTCTGAGTTCATCGATGTCATTTGATTTGTAGATAGAGCGAGTGGAGTTGTAATCCAGAGTGGCTTTATGTGCTGGTAGAGGATATTTGGTGCCTGAATGTTGCTTGCTGTCACACCCCGAAAACCGAAGGTGGAAAACATTTTCGGGGTTGACTACCACGTTGAGTATCAAATCCAATGCACATAGTAAGTAAAGTAAAGCAACCATATATTACATAATAAAGTTTTACAGTTGTTTCAAAAGTAAATTTTGTACAGTTGTGATACATAGTATATATAGACAAAATGAACGAGTCTTCATGTACTCAATCTTCTGATCAAAAGAAATCTTCGGGTACTTGTTCTAACGCTGACCTGAGAACACAAGCGGTTTGAAAATCAGCATAAAGCTGGTGAGTTCATAAGCGGTTTTTGTTTGTGAAAAATGTTTCGAGTTTCCTTTCTGTTTCTGAAATGTTATATGCACCAAGAAAATCCCATATTTTCTTAATAGTTGGTTATTGTTTCACAAATGTTAAGTATAGTAAGTTTTTACACTGAAAACATATCTACTCATGTGAAAATGTATAATTGGTTATCTGACTGGTTAAACTGTTCTGTTTACTTATCATGTGTTCCCAGGAAAGTCCCATACTTTCCTTATTGTATGTTACAAATTGTAAAAGATGTAATGTTATCCAATTTGTTACTCTTTCTAGTTATGTAAGTGTTACCCAGGAAAGCCCCATGCTTTCCTGCATGTTGGTTTCTAATGTAAACGATGTTAAAGATGTAAAAGATGTAATCATGTTTATATTCCATGTTTTCCCCAGGAAAGTCCCGTACTTTCCTGATTAATAGTTATTGTAAGTGAAAGATGTAAAAGATGTATAAGGTGGTTCATTATTACTATAAGTAAATCTTTGTTATCCTAATTGCGAGTTCCATAACCATACATTAGACTAAAACCTATGGCAATAAGTAGTCCACATGTGGCCATAAGTCGTCCACATACTTATGACTTTCGTCACCCTTGAAACATTTCGATTCGGCTGTAGCTAGCAGCCAGGTGTGGGGTAGTCAGCCCCGTATAGATCTATACACTCAAGTCACGCTCTCTAAATACCAGAGATTCTGGTTATGGGTGTAGTCCTCCACTCGCGTATCTCGGTGGAGTGTTCTCCGAGGACGTGTCTCCAATCATACCGGATTAACAAATTTACTAGTAATAATATGATAGTCCTCCACTCGCGTATGTGTGTGGAGTGTTACCGAGGACAAAACAGTGTACAAGTATTATGTTCAAATGTTTAATGTCATGCTTTTAACTGATAAAATGTGGAAAACCATTTGTGAAATATATGTAAAACATAATAGTTTAAAGACTTATTTCACAAATATATGTTACGTGATCTGCATGTTCAAATGATTATGAGTTGTGGTAATCAGTTATAAAAGCATATGAAATATGAAACACACATTTGAAAACATGTTTTGAGTACAAGGATTTCCTTGTACTTTGCTTGTGTTCCCCCCCCCCCCCTGAAAACAGTGAAAACAGTGAAAAAGGGTAGGGGTATGAACTCACCGGACTCGAAAGCGTGTCGGTTTTGAATGCTAGACGTTGATTCGGGGTTTGATTACTCGCAATGCCCCCTATGTAAAATGAAATAATGTCCATATATATACAATTATGGATACATTCACTAATCATATGGAACATTACACTCCAATGAGGTTAAACACCTCAAAACGAGCGTTTGGAGTGACCCGGGTGACATCTTCGGACGTGTAATGGCACTAGGGACCTGGGACTTGAGTTTACTCCCCAAGAGTAAACATTTTAAGGAGTTTACAACCATTGAACACACACATACATGAGTTTACGGCCGTAAACTCATGTGGGTGTGGTTTTGGGTGTTTAAATGGCTTAAATGGACATGGGGATTGTTGGAATGGATTTCTAAAATGCCTTGGAATGGATTGCATAATATTTTAACACTTAAAAGGGATTTTATGGCCATACCATAGAATTTTACGGCCGTAAACTCACCTATGGCCAAGGAAAATTGATTTGAGCTTCAAAGGACAATCACATGTGATTCTAGTTAATTTTCCAAGCTTTGTCATGAATTTAAACGTCATTTTGCATACATTTTGGAGTTTATGGCCTAGAGGCATGATCTAAGGCCGTAAACTCTATTATACCCAAGAAAAGTTAGTTTTTGATGCTTAAAACAATCACATTTGATTCTAGAAATTTGAACAAGCCATTTGGGGTGGTTTAATGCATCATTTGACAAAGTTTCATGAGTTTACGGCCAAGGGTATGCTCCTAGGCCGTAAACTCTTATAAGTGACATTTTTGTTGTGTTTCAAACCTTTAAACCATTTTTAGATGCATCAAGATTTTACCACAAGGCCATTGGTTGAGTTTCAAGGCATTTGGACAAGTTTTAAGGCTCTAAATCCCCAATTAAGAGGAGTTTACAGCCCAAGAATATGTCTTGGCCGTAAACTCTCTTTTGTCCCCCAAAAATCATGTTTAAGGTGTTTAGATGCTAAAACCAATGTCCCACAAGTCATATCTAAGTCCCAACTATGATTTGGAAGGTTTAATTGGCTCAAAAACCCCTTGGATATGAGTTTACGGCCCAAGAATGTGTCTTGGCCGTAAACTCACTTTTGTCCCTCAAAAATCAATGCTTTACATGTTATAAGTCCTTTCCATTAAGCCATTAAGTCATATCTAATGTCCAACAATGCTAAGGAAGGGTTTTAGGTCTTAAAAACCCCATTGATAGGAGTTTACGGCCCAAGCTAGTTCCTTGGCCGTAAACTCATGTTCTTGGGCCCAAATCACAAATTAA